TCCTCTTCAGGTAAAAATCAGTGACTTTGGATTGTCCCGAATGGGCATACAGTACACCATTCGAAAAGCTATGAAACTTCCTATCAAATGGCTGGCACCGGAGACTATCTCTACTTTCACCTTTTCGTTAAAAACGGATGTGTTCAGTTTTGGTGTAGTGGTTTTTGAAATTTTTTCTGATGGTGAAGAGCCATGGGCAGGGAAGACAAATGCTGAAGTTAAAGTTGCCGTACGTACTCTACTGGGTCCTCTGGAATTAATTTATTTATAAAATTAGTACACTAATTACCATGCAGGTAACCAGCGGTCAGTTCGTGCAAATGCCACAATGTTGTCCTGAGCCACTTCGGATATTCATCGCACAGCGAGTATTCGTTAAAGACCCTTTACAACGGGCCTATATGAGTGAAGTAAGTTGATCGTCAAAAATCTGATAAACAACTGCAAGCGTCGACTTGAGGTCACAGAAAAGCACTGCCTCGATAGTTCGAACAACTTACCACAATTCTCTTCGTACTTTTATGGCTTCCTCGTTCTACCATTTTTAGCTTGGCTAAATGAGGCCTACCAGACGAAGGAGCCTCTAATTTGCTCTTTATTCATTTTTCTAAGTCTACCTAGTTTTCTAAGTTCCAGTCCATGTGATTAAAGTGTCCCTACGCAACTACCGGACCTGTGCGTGTTCTCTTTCCTTCTGAATCACAGAGAAAAACAACATGACTGACTTCTGAATAATACAAGAGTGAACAAAGAGATGGTAGACGTAGGAAAAATGAGAATTAATTTGACAAAAAACTGTAGTTAAATATGGCAGTTTTAGATGGATTAAGAATGGTCATTTTTTTATCGGGTTTCCATTTTGCAGCAGTGAAGTTCGTGCACCTGTAGTCAAAAATGTGCAGAGTCAGGAAAGAACGAATGCGACAAGCAAGATGGGATTATGCAGCGCAGTCATCCTGGCTAGCATCGCTAAATGTGGTACAATTGTAACAACGTATTGTCTGAGGCATCTGCATTTTGAGTATGAATGGGCTAGATGATCGAAGTTGCGGTTCTAAAAACTAGAGATTCTCAGCATACTCATAAGCCAAATCGAATGAGATACCCAAACCACCATGACAAAATTCCCAAGGGATTTCCATTAAAATCACCATGACAAGATTCCCAAGGGTTTTTCATTGAAATTTGTGGGTTGATACATAACACAACCTTGAGAAGTAAATTGTTCACCTGCACCAGTCTCTTGGTATCTTTACAAAACTTAAAATTCCTGCAAATTGTCCTTAACCATCAGATTACAAATATTTGAATCAGACGTCCTTTTTTCAGCTTTTCTATTGATAAATATGCCTTGCGTACAATGCAGCGATTCTAGCAACACTGCCGCAATTTAAAATTTGAAGAAGCAGTTGTACGAAAAATAAACTTATTTCTTATGCTTTGTTTCAAGTCACAAAAAATGACAGCAACAATCAAATGATGGCTTTGCTAGATGAAAACCAGCATTGTCGCAGAACGCTCAATTGCAAGTGCTAGTGTGCTTTACATTTGAGGTCGTAAAAATCGTGTCAAAAATAACAGAACTGCTCTAAGGAACAGATAGCCTCGTTTTGGTAACAACTTACATCATTTGTTTCTAGGTAGTGAGAGTCTTCGAGAGAGCCATTGCATTCGGTGATACACCTCAAGAACCTCCAGAAAGCGGACCGAAACGTAAAAAACAAAAGTATTCTTTTTCTGTCTGTTTTATTTGAAATTTGTAAGAATGGCCCTAAAATTTGTAAGGCTAAAAGGATAAAACTTCATTATTCGGCTACGTTTCGGCGTTATCGCCTTCGTGAGAGCCTAGAAAGTCAACATTAATGAACCATCGCTTTCTGTTCAGTTCTTCTTTCAAATCGTTCTCCTTGTTCATCGAACGCCCGAGATATACGTAAGGAGACGTTTCCGCGGTTGGAGAGCCTTCTGATTCCATTCCCTGATCCTCGCAAATTGCACTTCATGAACTGAGTCTTCCTACGGTTGATTCGAAGTCCTATCCGCTTTCCTATTTCGTTCAGTTCTTCCAATATCGTCTCCGCTTCAGTGATAATTATCGAGATTCGCAAAACGGATTCAACAGGAATCTTTCGTTAACTCCTATACCTCTCTCCCAATCCTGTGAATTCATCACATAATGCAAAGCGGTTAACAGCTTTGGCGACACGGTGTTGCCTTGTCGAATCCCCTTTGAATTTGGTACGTTAAATGGGCGGTGGAAAAGCTATACCGTTGTAGAGCAGTTTTTGTAGCAATCGGCCAAATCCTCACGTAAGATTCCACTTTTTGGTCGACGATTGCTGATAGTATCTCATTAGTCCCGACGCTGTCAAACGCTTTTTCCTAGTCGACAAAAATTAGAGAGGTAGGCGGTACTCTCGCCAAA